CCCCCCCTGGGGGATTTGTAATAGATTCTGTATCAAGTATAATGCTATCTATGTTATCTGTAAATATCTTAATTATCTGTTCATTGACCCTGCCGGGATAGCCCGGTCAGTTTATCCACCTGTATATAAATAAAACTAGTTCAATAGAATTCTTTGATTTATACAGACGTATATAGAGCCTAGAGTTTGGCTGAGAATAGAGAGCCTTGAGTTTTGGCTAGAGATAGAGATTAGTGTGTTCTTTATTAGACTTTGAGTATAGTAATCGCGTCTAGATTTTTTACATGGATAGGGTTCAGGTGAATGGAGAGTTAGGATGGATGGATAGGGTTCAGGTTAATAAATAGGGTTCAGGTGAATGGATAGGGTTCAGGTGAATGGATAGGGTTCAGCCCAGGTGAATGGATAGGATTCAGGTAAATGGATAGGTTTACGGTAAATGGATAGAGTTCAGGTGAATGGATAGGGTTCAGGTAAATAGATAGAGTTTAGGTGAATGGATAGGGTTCAGGTGAATGGATAGGGTTCAGGTGAATGGATAGGGTTCAGATGAATGGATAGGTTTACGGTAAATGGATAGGGTTGAGGTGAATGGATAGGGTTGAGGTGAATGGATAGGGTTCAGGTGAATATATAGGGTTCAGGAAGATGGATAGGGTTCAGGTGAATGGATAGGGTTCGGGTAAATAGATAAGGTTACGGTAAATGGATAGTGGAAAACTGTTTTTGACATATTTCTCTTTGAACTGATTATCATTTCAATCTTTAATAAAGGGAATGTCGACACAATTTTAGGTGACCCTCCATTCGAACACCCTAAATCCAACTTTCCTCTTTTAACAATTAACAATTGAAGAAGATATCTCCATTTCTCTGTCCTTAAAAGAGATTTTTTCTATCAATTTATTATTTCTCTAATCTGTAACGAATGTCTGAATATTGTTTTGAACAGTAATAGGATCTGTGCAGTGTGCAGTGTGCAGTGTGAAGTGTGCAGTGTTTAGTGTGCAGTAGAGATGTCAACGATAGTGTAACGTAACGTAAAATGTATGTTTTTGTACGTTTCGTTACAATAATGTGTAACGTTTGGATATATTCCATATCACGTTAACGTTTAACGTGTACGTTATATGAGCTCATACCTAACGTTAACGTTAAACGTTAGGGGAACATATCCCCAACGTTAGCGTTTTGTGGAAATGTAACGTTATTTTTCTAATATCTACAACTTTTTTGACCATAACGTAAAGAAATGTTTTGTTTCCAAGGGGAGCTTGAAAGTCTAACGTTTGAAAAATGAATTGTGATTTGATTGAATATCGTAACGAAAGGATTTCTATTTCAAAGTTCAACTTATAAAAAGTGTAACGTTGTATAACTGAAAAATGCATTACTGTTTATGAAAACGTTTTGAAACGTTTTTCCTTATAGTATAATGAAAAATTCAACGTTGCAGAAATGGGTTATTATATTAATAATAAGGAAACGAAAGTTTTTTACAGAGTAAAATTTCAGTAATGTAATGTATAACATTTAAAAAAATGTAATTCTGTAAATCAAAATGTTTCATAACTTTTCTCTGAATACGAAATTGATTAGTCTAACGTTAGATATATGTCTGATGAAAATATTTTTCATAAAACGTTAGACTATTAGGGCTGACTTTTAATTTCAAAAGCGTAACAATAATTCTGTCAATCAAAACATTTCAAAACGTCTCTAATATATCAATGTAAGAGATTCGACTGATGATTATAAGAGCAAAGACTAAAGAAAATGAGTTTATGCCAAAAACTCTAATTTTCATTTAATATATCTTTGCAACCCGATGTCGTAGACCATTAATATTGAAATATACAAGGTTTAAACCATCAGGTTGGAAAGATATAGGGATTAGTAAATTTGAAAAAAAAACTTAGCTCCTTTCTAGAGTGTAAACGAGTTTTTTTGTAACATGCTATTAGTGAAAATTCAAATCTTATAAATGTTTCTTGGACATTAAAAATTTTGATTTGCCATTGTTTGATGAAACTTACTAAAACTCTGGAAAAGGAAGACGACATTAAGAAATTTTACATATGTATTTTCTGTTATAAAGCAAATGATTTACTAATTGTAAAAAAATCAACTTATTAAGTGGAACGGGTCTGTGAACAAACACAATGACTGGGTTTCATACTTATTTGACTACTTGAAATCATAACTTCAGTTGGCATGGTTCATGTTTTAGGTTGAAAAATTTAGAAATGTAGATTGTAGATACTTACTAAAATGCAACAATATTTTATCAATTGGAAAATGCGTGTTATGTTTTACTCATCAATAGATTTTTATGAAACTTTAGAATAGAAAAAAAAACTGATTTTTTAATCGATTTTTTTAAAAAGAAAAAAATGTTAAATAATTTTTTTTCGCGTTGTTCGATTTTTTTGATATTTTTGATATTTGATATTTTTTAACCCCAAACATGAACTCTGAAAACATTTTCATATTGTGGTTAGAAAACTAAAGCTAATGCCGCTTTTTTACTCACTTTGTAAGTGAAATAAAAAAACACAAAAAGAACTAAAAATTCACCACAAATAATAATCTTTGCAAGCTGGTGTTGTAGACTTTTGATATTTCAAGCTATGACTTCTGTTAGATAAGAATGTCTACAGGAATTGCAATTTGTTCACAAACTTATATTTCTAATCCCTATATCTTTGCTACCTTACATATTTTAAACTATGAATTCTGTTAGATAGAAGAAAAGGGCCAGTCTGCATTGCGCAAAAAAAGAAAAAATTAACCCTAAACTAATCTAAAATAATTTAGAACTACTGTTAAAAATGCAAAAGTGGTTTGCCTCGATTCCCAATGATAACGTATACCTTTATCTGATTGATGATTTGAAAATTAGGAGTGTTTTCCTATCTTGTATCTTGCAAAAAATAAATATGATACATCATTTTCTTGGATATGACATGCTGAATTCAGATTCGAAAACCATTTTTAAATATATTAAAATCTAAAGAAGTTATGGCCAAATAACGGTACTAAATTCCGGTTTTTAAACTTTTTAATGTTTTTTATGAGTTTTTAGCTCTGACTCTCTCAATTTTCAATTGTTATAAACGCTTTTCAGATTTGAATTTAGCATTGAATTTCCAAGAAAATGATGTATAACATAAAAATAAAAAATAAATTTTTTTTTGTGGCCTTCTTTGAAAACGCAACGACTTCCGGTGGGCGGTTGGCTCTATTCCAATATTGATCACCCCTACTGGACAATGGACATGCCACTCCATAAATGGAAGGTCACTTGAAATTACGTCTCTAGTCCCTTAAAGACACACTTTGAGTTGAAAGTCTAATGCTAAAAACTTTCATTTACAAATTTTAAAAATCGTTAAACGTAATAATGTTATAACATCTTTATATTGCATAATGCATATTCTTCTGCACATTCTCTAAAAAGGTTAACAATACAAGAGCAACATACAGGGTTAGTAAAAAAATGTAATTATCACGGAAAAAATCTTTCAATGCTTCATTTAGAAACTATATTATTTTAATAAAATGTAACGTTAGAAACATTAAGGCTTGAACATTTTAATACAACACAACGCATAGAAGATTTTTTCAAATCTTTCTTAGAAACGAAACGAATAAACAGTTTTGATTGTCAGTTGTAAAAAAGTGTAACAAAAAGTTTTCACAATAACGTTTCAATAAATCGTAACGTAAGAAAAAGTGCATTTTAGTAAAATTTCTTAACGTAATTAAAAGAGTTTATATTGGAAACGTTAAGATAAAACGTAACGCTAACAAAAAATATTCTTTGCACTGAAATGCATTGTAACGTACAGAACTATGCCCCAATTACGTTTTATTAAAGCAAAACGTTTGTCATCTTTTAGATCTTAAACCAAGTGAAAGTGTAACGTAAGGTCTCTGAAAATATTTACCTTGCATGAAAGTGGAATGTTAAAAAATTGTGGTTATATTACATAAGCTTTAACGCAACGTTGGGAAAGTTTTTTAAAACGTCAAATGAAAAAGCGTAACGAACTTACTGTTTTTTCAATAACATTTAATAAAGCTTAACGTTGTATAAGGTATTCAAGTGCAGAAAATTCATTAAGTAACGTTACTCTATGCCATAAAATTTCATAATGTGCAACGTAACGTTTCAAACGTTAATACTTTTGATGAACACAATCGTAACGAAAGCTAAAATCTAGAAAAATCAAAACGTTGACATCTCTAGTGTGCAGTGTGTGTAAAGCACTTTAATTCCTTTCATCTTTTTATGCTTTCGAGAGGGCATTAGACTTCTAACAGAAAGAATAGAAGAAACATAAGATATGTTCTGTCCTGAATACATCAAACAGTTTATAAATTTGGGAAATAAAGAAAAAATCTATGATTCAACATCAAGTTATGTTAATGTTTGTCATTTTCCTATATCATTTTTTAAATTTTGGATCCTAAACAATAGATTCACCTAGCTCTGCTGTTTGTGTTTATATTGTTAAGATTATAGTAGAAGTTCATATATTAAAATATATTCACCGATGTCCATAGCTATTTAACGATGCACTCGTAAATGCATAATTTTAACGATGCAAACACATAGTCTTAATTTTGCAAATACACAGTTTTAGCGATAAGACATAGATTTAACGATGTAAATGCATAGTTTTAACGATGCAAAAACATAGTTTTACCTATGCAAAACATAGTTTTAACTATGCAAAAACATAGTTTAAACATTAAAATACATGGTTTTAACGATGCCCAAACCTTTTAAAAAATGTACAATCTTACAACTAGGTTTTGAAATCGTTGAATAGGTCTGGACATTGAAGACGATGTTCAGGTATAGTTCTAAAGATGTCCATTATCCAGTCCTATTCAACAATTTAAAAACCTAATTTGAACAATTCTAAAACCAAATGTTCTTCAGATAATTTTAACAATGACCAGACCTCCGGCAACAATAAAAATATCTCTGATTACCTTTCTTTCATTGAAGATTTGATGTTAGTGATAATATTGTCAGAAATATCATTTGGAGTCAAGGATTGGCGTCTACTGGACACCTTCTCTCCTAGGGTAGCACATACCTAGGGTACAGAGTGGGATCAAGAAAAGTGCTTATTTGGAGTACATGGCGGGATCAAGAAATTTGAACACCTGGGGTACAGGGTGGGATCAAGAAAACTACATACCTAGGGTACAGGGTGGGATCAAGAAAACTACATACCTAGGGTACAGGGTGGGATCAAGAAAACTACATACCTAGGGTACAAGGTGGATTCAATATATTTGTAAACTAAGGGTTAAGAGTGGGATCAAGAAAAGTGCACACTTAGGATAAAGGGTGAGATAAAGAAAGGTACTATACAGGGTGGGATATCAGAGCGTATACCTAGGATTGTAGGATGGGGCAAGAAAAGTAAATACCCAGGGGTATACGATATTCACTATATGCAGTGTGGGATAAAGAACCTTACATATTTGTGGTTATACAGGGTGGGATAAAAAAGCATATGTTATAATGTTATAAAGGGTGAAGTCAAGAAAAGTACATACGTAGGGGTTTACAATATACAGACAGGGTGGGATCAAAAAAGATATAAATCAAGAGAAGCACATATCTAGGGTTACACTGTATACACTGACATGGGGGGGGGGGGGTCCAAGAACAGTACATACGTTATACAATATTCAGACTGCGATCAAGAATAGTTCATACTGTGAATATACATCGTGGGATAAATAAAATTGTAGATACAAGATACAGGTTGGCATAAAAAAGTACCTAAGGACAATGTTAAACCAGGTGGGATTAAGTAGATTATTTCATCGTGAAAATCAAACTATATGTTTTCAAAATCACCTTTTATAGAAATCAATATGTTAATTGTTATAAATTAAAAATAGTTCATATCCGGTTTCTTGAGGCAATCTTGAGAAGCACAGTACACTATATATAAACAATTATATAACCGTTAATTGTACAAAAACAACATGAAAGTATATTAATATTCAATTATGCAGACAGATGAATAAATATTTATTTGGGAAATATTATCAAGTAAACATTTTATAAATACATGTATCAATATCATAGGATTATTTTTTGTTGTTTTTCCTCTAATTTACCATATTATTTAATAAAATAAGGAAGGTTCATAATAATAATAATATTATGAAACGATTGTTGCCACTTTTACCTAAGAAGAATGTGGCAAAAAACAGCAAGTCAATTTTAAAGCGATCTTATTTTAAAGATTGAATTTGCGCTCTTGCTGAACAATTATAAACCGTAAAAACTTCTCATAGGTCTCAAATAAATTTTGAACAATTTCTCCACTAAACAGCACTCTCAGCTCAATTACAATGTTTTGCTTGCCAGTCACTCCCTTTAACCCTTTTTGCGCCGAGAGAGAAATTCAGTGGTGTTCAATAAAGCGGAAACTCATTTTTGTAAGTTTTTTAATGATTTTATGATACATTTTTTAAAGCTTTCTATCGTAAACACAATGAAATCCCCTCGGTGGACCTGGGTTAAACATAAAAAGCTATAATACCTGTGTCGACATAGACATAAGTGTAGAAAGATGTTCTCCAAGACTTGATACAGAGGCTTTCCTGCTCGGCCTAGTTGACCCTGCAGCTGATCGGCCTTTGCTAAAATAGACTTTTTTACCTGTCCTGCATTAAAAATGGGCTCTTGTCCACAAACTCAATTTATCTCATTCTTATATCTTAGCAACCAGATTGTGTATACCTTTGATATTTCAAACTAAGATTATTTGATCTAACAGAATTCATAGTTTGAAATTTAAGGTCTACGTGGTAGGGTTGCAAAGATTTAGGTATTCGAAATTCAGAGTTTGTCAAAAAGACTCAATTTAGAGTTTAAAGTTTTCAAAGTGTTCACAATTAATCTTTGAAATTATCAAACTTTTCGTCTTTAAAAGTTAGTTTTTACTTCACTTATGCATTAACCCTTAAAAGTCTACAATGTTAAAATGCTAAAAGTTTAAAACAAATTCTATACTGTTTCCCTAATTTTGACATTTTAAGTTAATTGTTTACTATATTTATGCATCTGATTTTTATCTAAAATGTTTTTTTAATTTTTTTCTTTATGAAAAAAATTACTGATTTTACCAAGGAAAATATGTAGATATAACTAGATTAATTATACACCGGGTGCAGAAGAAAGGTCGTAGCCCAAGATACATTAGAATAGATTGTTTATGGAGGCTATAAAGCTGAAAATTGTACAACCCACTGTACGTAATGAACGCGTCATACAAAAAGGTCATTGAATATGTTTTACTTCTCGGGGTAAATTTTAAAGAAACAATTTTTAACTGATCAGCATCTTGCCATTCTGAATAGTATATATTGATACTAGTCCTCTATACAAAACAAAACGCTTGCCGCAACTCTTCTTATTCAATGTACTGTCTGTATGGACTGGGACATAGCCAAATAGATTCTAGCACAATAGATGGCAACGTAGAATTTGCACACTTTCAGTACGGCTGTATTCTTACGTCACAAGTGTCAATTTGGTTTTTGTGTCTGACAAAATTATCAATAATAGTGATAAATTTATTAAATCTTGGAAAACATGTCAACTAATGACAATGACAATTTTGTTTTCCTTGTTGTATTTGACACTTGTGACGTTGTGTATAATTGGTTCATTTCTCTGTTGCCACCTATTGTACTTAATATAATCTTTTTGGACTTGGACAATTCAGAGGTAAATTCATATTTTCAATTTCAGCTGAAACACTCCAGTATGGTGAAGACGACATGAGGTATCTAGTCTAATTTATCTAGGGTGGGAACGAAATAAAGTAAAGAAATATGAAACGGAATTAGCCAACATTATTTTTTTTTAACTAAAAAGTAGGAAATAAATCAGATTAAAATGTTTAATTTATTCCTGTAACATAAATCAAGGACCCAGAGGGCACCTTAAAGAATATCTACCTGAAAACCCTTTAAGATATTTTCCAAAATATCTAATGCTCTTGTCCCGTGTTTTTCTTTTCTTTTTTTCCACTTGTTTACATTTTCGATTTATTTGCTTAGTTTTATCTTTATTCGTTTTAAATTTTTTTTTTAATTCTAAATATTTTTCTTTGCTTTTTTCCTTTTTCGCTTTTTTTCTTCCTTTTTCATTTCTTTAATTGTTTTTTTTTATCATATCCTTTCCATTTTATTCTTTTTTCTAAGAACCGGAAAGCAATAGAAAGACGACATTATTAATTGTATTTGAGGAATCGAAACAAAGTAAAATGCTTATTTAAATCACTAATTAAGTGAAATGGGTCTGTTTACACTGCACAATTGCTGTGCCTCTTGTTCATTGGAACATTTAATGTATTAACTTGATCTAAAAGTCTCCATTCTATTTTAGAGTTTTTTGGTTATCATTGTATCCCTCCTTTCATTTGATCATTTTTTCTTTTCCACTTTCATTTTCATTTTATTAAAATCTTTTTTGTTTTAGATATTTGATGCTGGTATGAATTGAATATTGCCAGAAGAGGGGTATCAAGTTTCTCGGATAGAGCATGTTAAGGAAACCCTACAAGTAACCAAAAAAAAAATAATTGAACGCAAATATTTTGTTCAATACTTTTTATTCAGGGTCAGAGGAGGAATCCTATACAACTCTATAATCAAACATAATTATTTAATTTATAAAAAGATGGGCTTAAAATTAAGCCGCGGCTCAAATTCTTTAAATTCGGCCTCTGGTCATCTACAAAAGGTATGTATACAGGTCCATTTTAAAACCAGAGCTCTTAACAAAGGAATATTATTTACCGACGGATTCAATGATACAATGTCTACCAATTATTGTTGCAGGATGCAGTCTGACCAAAAATAAGCCATTTTGAGCAAAGAATCTGTTTAATAAAAACTCATTCCTCCTGTCGATTATCATGGTTTCAAACACATAAAATATGCTTATTTCTTTGTATACAATTTTTCCAGATATAAACTTTTTAATCTTTTCTGTATCTTATTCGATTGGACGTCATAAAAAAAAATTTTTTGTTTTGTTTCTGGTTTTAAAAAATTCTAATACATTTTTTACATTTTTCGTTTTTTCTTTTCAGTCAGGTTACGATTACCATGAGGGATATTGAATAAAGATTAATTAATCTGCAGATTAACAAAAGATCGAGTTCAAGTACTGATCTTGATATCTACAATTCAAGAGTCATCCCATCTTCTTATTTAAAAAACACATTTTAAACGAGCGATAGAGAGAAGAAAAACCTACCTGGGACTTTCTTCATTGCACACACTCAAGCTTCTAAACACGTGTAAAAAGATAAAAAGATGGGCCTTGTTTTCAAATATTTAATTTCATAGCTTCTTAAGTTTGAACTGCTCACTTATTAACAATATATCACATTTTTCTTTAATTAGCTCTTCAAATAACAAAAAACATGAAAACTTGTATTTGACTTGCAAAAAGTTTTTTTCTCTTAAACTGTGAAATATTTTATCTTACAAAAGATATTAATCATAACAATTCAGCTAAACATTTATTTTTATTTTTTTATTATGTTCATCGAAATGAAAATATTGGACAAAATACAATTTCAAAAACAAATATAAACATCCAATGTCTTGAGGTCTCTTAAAAGAGAAATAAATCTTTGTTCTTCTAAGAAAGAAAAATAAAGTGATAATCGACTTTAATCAAGTTGATTCTAAAATGTATTTATAATCTTCAAGCAAATATCTCCCAAAATTTTACGATCACAAGAACAATCGATCCCCAGATTGGAACATCATCTACCAATGAACGATCAAACAGTTAATGATTAAAATGACCTCAGAGCCTAGGGTATGGATTTTTAAAAAGCTTTAAAATTAACAGTAGTTGTAAACGAAAGGTAAAATTTTGGTTTCACAATGAACAAAAACTTTAAGTTTATTGAAAGAAAAAATTTTCGTCCGAACGAAAATGTTTACAAATGGATCAACGATTAAAAACGAGTTTTTAGAATTCTAAACATTTTCCCCAGCACAATAGATCAAAGTAGGTCCCCCTTCACGTTCAATTGTGCACAATTCTTTATAATGAAAATCTAGCAGCAAGTGGTTGAAAGACTGACCTATTTTAAATTCTATTATTCTTTCTGGTCAAATCCTTTCTTTTCATCATAAAATGTAAAAAGGACAAATTTTAGCTTCTGTGTTCATATTTAATTTTATAAATTCATATTTCTGCAAAATGTATTCAAATTTGCAAAAGATTTTCGCTTGAAAATATAGAATTTTTAAAGTAGGAATAAATTTTCTACGTAAAATAAATTCAGACTCAGGTTTTACGTTTGATGAAAGATCCAAACCACATAAAAGCAGACACACAGATGTTAGCTAATATATTTATTTTAGAATTTAACCAATTATTTTGAATTTAATAAGAAAAGATGGTGATGAATAAAAAAGATATTTGAATTTAAGGATTGAAAATTTTAAAACTTTACACAAACTACATTTTCGATTATTTTTCAATCAAATGCTACTCATACAGTACGACTTTATTTAGAGCTAGGCTATATATGACAAATTGGCAACTTTTTTTGATGAAATGAAATTATTTTTAATCTTCCTGACAGAAACACTCTCAAAAACTGACGAGGGTCAACCCAGACAGAAATGTGGAACTAACATCTATTTTTTTTTACTCATACAGAGGTTTGGTCCATCACCATTGCACCGAATTTATATTTGAACGATGTTTTTAAGATATTTGAACGGTGTTCTTGAGATATTTGCACTATGTACTAGTGATATTTGAACGGCGTTCTTGAGATATTTGAACGATGTTCTTAAGATATTTTACCGATGTACTTGAGATATTTGCCTGATGTACTTAAGATATTTGCCCGATGTACTTCAGTTATTTGCCCGATGTACTTCAGATATTTGCCCGGTGTTCTTGAGATATTTGACCGATGTACTAGAGATATTTACCCGATGTACTTGAGATATTAACCTGTGAGAATTAATCCCTCTGGTGCTAGGAGAACCTGGAGCCAAAACATTCCCTGATATCAGTCAAAATATTGAAATTATTGTTCAGTCGAAATATCAGGATTTTGTTGGGTCACATTGTCTACAAAATTCTGCTGATATTGAAAAGAATGTAATTTTAAAAGCACTTTTTTACTTTCTTACTTTGCTATTCCAGAACGGTTTTTTGAATAAATATTTTTTTTGTATATTCAAGAATTTTGACAAATATTGTTTTTAAAGGATCCTTAAAAACCTTTCAATTATAGTCACTAAGCTCTGCAGCGGAAATGTTGTTTCAAAAGCTGAAAAGCAATTATAAGTTCTCCATTATTTGTGACAATATCTTGATTAAAAATCTTTTTCATGAACATTGAGTAATATATTATTTTAGAAAAGTATGATTTATTTGAGAACAAATTCAGCACATAACTCGTTAGTGGACTTTGGATGTTGTGAATCTCGGCATTGATCTCCATCTTTCTACGGATTAATTTGATCCCTCTTCTATATCCCGTGATGGTCATACCCTGCAGAGATAATATTTGTTTTGGGATCAAGCAATGATCCTAGAAAACAAATGCTCACATTGGATATCGAGATTAAATAAATAAATAAAAACAAAAAAATAATGATTTATTGAGATAAAATCAAATAATAATTATCATTCACAAATAATAATATTACAAATAAATTATTGGTTAAGCAGTCTCGGAATATATGGAATAGCAGATTTTCTATATTTTTCTGTCCTGGCATGATTGACATGATACTGCTCCTGGTGGCGTAGTTGATGTTCATGTGGGTGAAATGCAGCAGGGAAGAGATGACGATGTTTAGAAGATTTAATACATTTCTTTGCGAAAGAGAGGGATAGCTTGTCTCTTCTTGACTCCAGGGTCTCCAGTTCACAGGACTCCAATGCACTTATATATCCAACATAATCTTTGCCTAGAATAATGTTTAGGCAAACTCTCTGTATCCGTTCAAGGGAATTGTTTTGGGGAACTGTGAGAGAAGAGTGACATACAACACAACAGTACTCGACATTACATCTGATATAGGTTTTATAGACTGATAATAGGTCTTCCATTTTCAGCCCAACATACTTCAGCGTCGAAAAATTATCGATCATTATTGGTTGTAACATCTGAATGATTTGTTTGGATTAATTAAATTGATTTTTTACGATTCGAGTTGAATGTTGCAACTTTCTGAATTTGTATGGACGCTATGTTCTTCGGTATGAGTCGTTTTTAACAATTTTCTTCTAATAGACGCAACAGATAGAAGTAATATTAGCAACGATCAAAAGCGCTTATTTTTCGCCGTAAGCCTACTCCCCTTTCATTTTTCGCGAACAATTCATAAATGTCTATTTTGCTCTATCTTGCATGTACATATATATGTATGCATTCTTTATCGCGCTGTACTAAGAACACATGTAGTAAAGTTCATACAATCTAATTTCCTGAAATGTTTCAGAATTTAAAATCTTTAGTTTAAATCTAAATGGGACAACTCCCTGGAACCCTGTTTAATTTACTTTAAGCCCGCTTTTTAGTTATATATCATGTTACATCACTGCACAAACTAGGAGGAGAGGGTCAAATTCAGCTGACATTACTAGCACGACTTTGTGACATTGTTGCTCCTCTAGTTCTGATTTTAGGTACAATTATGAGCAAAGCAAATTTATTTGAATAAATATTATGAATTAAAAACATGTTTGCTCTTATCAATATCTCTTCAAGAAGAGGAGGTATGTTTTAAAACATAAAAGATTTCGATCTTACGTTCATTTTACTTTAGTTTGGCGTGATATTTATTCTAGAAAATCTAATTGTGAACTTTTTGTGAAAAAGCACTTATCTACAATGCTGGATATCATTATCCATTGTGGTAACTTTTAGATTTGAGATATCATGGCGTTTCAGTCTGGATCCTAGCTACCCCTTCTTGTTTCGGACCATGTGATATCAAAATAGATTCGTTTTACGTCAAAATGTACAGATAACTGCTCTCATTTAGAGATTTGTATACACAGTAAACAGCAGCTTATCGTCTTCAATCTTTCTTTCTATTGTTTTATAATTATCACTGTATATAAATTTAAGTACGCGCTGTTTCCGTATTTTGAATAAAAAATTTGAATTGTAAAATAAAATTCTCATTTTAAATTGAAATCATTACAAGGGGACTTTCAAATGAGCAACATTTTTTTATCCTTAAAATAAATGAAAATATAAAATAATTTTACCCTTGTTTCAATCTGTTAGATATGTTTACTAATTTCTGATAAATATTCAAAAAAGATAAACAATGAAAAATTTCGCAGATTTCCTTGTTTTCACTGGTGGATTTCCTATTTCAAATCAGTTAAACCGGTTTGACAAATATTGGATCAAAATTCAGACACACAGAGAAGACAAATTGCTATATATATTTAAATTTTCAAAAATAGACAGTCGATCATATTTTGTAAAAGGAGTTATTGCTTTTGTTATTTCATAATGAATCTAAATAGTTTCAATATGCTGTCACTTAATCTTAATTGAGATGCTCATTTATCTAAAAAAAAGTTCAACTTTCTCTAAATGTTAACTAACAAGGTGGATAGAAAAAAAGGAAGTTAAAAGTTCTAATACTTTGAAACTTTGATATCAAATATGATCATAAAATAATGCAAAATAACCAATAATTTTCCTTGTTTCCAGAGATGAAACTATTGTGCATCGATACCCATAAATCCCGATCACCTAATCTCGATATGTACAGTGGACACTTTTAAATTTTAAGAAGAATCTGCTTGATCACTTGACGTTGGATGTCCGCAATTTCTCTGTTCGCCCATTGGTTGAACGCAAAATTCTCTGCCTTCTGATTGGTTGTTCATGGGATATCGATTAAAGATTAAATTAATCTTTAGATTAACAATAGATCAAGATCAAGCATTTTTCTCGATTTCCACTAGGGATGTTAACGTTTTCATTTTTTTGAAAAACGATCGATTAGTTATGAAAAGACGACAAAAAATGAAAATTTTTTTTTTAAAACGATCGTTTTGCAAAATGATCGTTTTTATAAAGCTCGCCGTTTCGTTAACGATCGTTAGCGACGACCCTTCGTTAACGATCTATAACGTAGAGAGTAGGAGAGAGGAAATCGCCCTGAAGGCATCGGTACTTATCATTGAGCAGTTTTAAAGAAAATATCAAGAAGTTTTAGCTTTTTATCTTCATATAAGACGAAATTCGATAAAGTTGCATGTAATTTTTTTTCAAAACGATCGTTTTTTCAAAAACGACAGTTTTTATAAAGTTCGTCGTTTCGTTAAGGATCGTTAACTACAACCCTTCGTTAACGATCGTTAACGACGACCTTTTGTTAACGATCGATAACATATTTATCATTAAAAAAAATTTCAAAAACAATAGTTTTTTTAAAAGATCGTTTTCAAAAACGATCGTTATTAGTTTTCTAAAAGTTCAGAACGAGTGGGTCGTTTTTAAAAAACGAACGTTTTTTTCCGAAAACAAAACACACACACAACGATAATCTTAATCTTTATCTGTTCAATTTTGTGGAAAATATTTTCGTTTTTCTAGGCTTTAAACTGTTTATTTTTTATACCTTATACTTTTGTGGAGAATCTACAATTAAAAAATAATCAGTTTTCAAAGTTTTAAATACTGATTCTTTTTAGACAAAGTTTTAAGGGGCATCGTTGTGAATCGTGCAATTTCATTGTTCCAATGAGGGTTACTGAAAATTACGCTTGTAGTCCCTTTCATTAAAAAAAATAGTCATAAAGAACATTAAAAATTAAGATAGCTAATAAACATCTTTAAAAAATTTGTCTTCAAATCATTTTTAAAAATTTGCTAAATTCTGAAAAAAAAATCAATTATTTATATTTTGCCTAAAGATTTTGTTCTTGTTCTCTGGCCTAGGGGTTTCCTGTAACCATTTTGTTTATACATTTTCTGAAACATTTTAGAACAATTTTAAACAATTTTAAACTCTTTAGTTAAAGCTTCAAAGGCAATTTAAAAATTAATATAATTATTTTATTTTTATTACTTCGCTCAGGCTTAAAAAATGTTTTAATTAAAGCAGGGTTGTATTAAATGTTTCTTAAGATAAGGGGGGGGGGGGGGGGAGTGAATGCCAAATTGTATATCATCAACTGACGAATTTGTCCCTAAACTTTTGATGATTTTAACCAAAAATTGTTGATTTCCTCAATTCAGCGGAATGAATTAAGTTTTTTCTACATTCTTTCTTAATAACTGGGCTAAAAGGATTTTTCATTTATTTTCCCATTTGATAGTTTAGAATTGTTGAGGAGAAGCTGCAGGTTAAAGAATAACTATTTTCCCATTTGATAGTTTAGAATTGTTGAGGAGAAGCTGCAGGTTAAAGAATAACTATTTATAACACTGTTATTTTGGTTCGCAGTCTTATTAAGTTTTTGGACAGAAATTTTCTCTTTATCGGGAACCTTCGAGATATAGAGAAAAATAAAATCCAAAAATTTTAGCACGTTGTAACAAAATAATAGTGTTATGAAACGTTTGTGTACTTGTCTTATTTCAATGGTTATTTCTAGGTCAAATAATCTTAAAACAAAGCAGAAGTCAAAATATAAAGTAGATTTCAATTTCATGATGAAATTCACGATGAAGTGAGGAAGAATGATAAATTAAACAATAGTTTCATAAAAGAATATATATCACGACTGAGAGTTGATATCGAAATATAAATAAATCAAATTCGAAATTGATGGTTGTAAACCCAGATATTCTTATTTTACTTTGATTATTTAGTCTTTTCTCAACTAAAGTTATGATTTGTTTTCTCTCTTTTCTTCCCTCTTTTTAGTTCTAGTTTACATTTACCCCCCCCCCCCCCCGTCTGTTAATAAATGCAAGATGAGAGTGGAAAGTAATTAGATTATTAAGTTTTCTCCTGTTTTTAACATTTTCTTCATACTTACATTATTAAAATTTTAGCATTTTGCTCAATTTTGAAA